CACCAGATACCAGACACCAGATACCAGATACCAGATACCAGACACCAGATACCAGATACCAGATACCAGACACCAGACACCAGATACCAGACATCAGATACCAGACACCAGACACCAGATACCAGACCCAGAACCACCAGAAACCAGATACGAGATACCAGATACCAGTTACCAGACACCAGAAACCAGATACGAGATACCAGATACCAGATACCAGATACCAGATACCAGACACCAGATACCAGACACCAGATACCAGATACCAGATACCAGACACCAGACACCAGATACCAGACATCAGATACCAGACACAGATACCAGACACCAGACACCAGATACCAGACACCAGACACCAGAAACCAGATACCAGATACGAGATACCAGATACCAGACACCAGACACCAGTTACCAGACACCAGATACCAGATACCAGATACCAGATACCAGACATCAGATACCAGACACAGAAACCAGATACGAGATACCAGATACCAGATACCAGACACCAGACACCAGATACCAGATACTAGATACCAAAACCATACGAGATACCAGATACCAGATACCAGCCACCAGATACCAGACACCAGATACCAGACACCAGATACCAGATAAAGAGATAACAGATACCAAATACCAGATACAGACACCAGATACCAGACACCAGATACCAGACATCAGATACCAGACACCAGTTACCAGACACCAGTTACCAGACACCAGATACCAGATACCAGATACCAGACATCAGATACCAGACACCAGAAACCAGATACGAGATACCAGATACCAGATACAAAATACCAGATACCAGATACCAAACACCAGATACGAGATACCAGATACCAGATACCAGCCACCAGATACCAGACACCAGATACCAGACACCAGAAACCAGAACCAGATAATGAGATAACAGATACCAAATACCAGATACCAGCACCAGACATCAGATACCAGACACCAGATACCAGATACCAAACATCAGATACCTGATACCAGATACCAGATACCAGATACGAGATACAAGATACCAGACACCAGATACCAGACACCAGATACCAGACACCAGAAACCAGATACCAGATAAAGAGAAAACAGATACCAAATACCAGATACCAGATACCAGATACCAGACACCAGATACCAGATTCCAGATACCAGACATCAGATACCAGATACCAGATACCAGGTATATGATTCCAGACACCAGACACCAGATACCAGATACCAGACACCAGATACCAGATAGCAGATACCAGATGCCAGACACCAGACACCGGATACCAGATACCAGATCCACATACCATACCAGATACCAGATGCCAGACACCAGATGCCATATACCAGATACCAGATACCAGACATCAGATACCAGACACCAGATACCAGATGACAGACACCAGATACCAGATACCAACACACAGACACCAGATACCAGATACCAGACACCAGATACCAGACACCAGACACCACACATCAGATACAGATACCAGCGCCAGATACTAGACACCAGACACCAGATACCAGATACCAGACACCAGACACCAGATACCAGACACCAGATACCAGATACCAGACACCAGACACCAGATACCAGACATCAGATACCAGACACCAGACATCAGAGACCAGATACCAGATCAAAATGTCAAAGGATAGAAAATGATTAGAGATAGGGATAAAGTATATATCGCTAGCATTGCATTAGCATACCAGCAACTGCGCTACGGGTTTTAAAAAAGACATCAACGGACATATTTAGCATAGCTTGGCATACTGTACGTGAGGAAATAAGACATCAACGTACAATTTGGCATAGCGTTAGCATGCCAGAAACTGCGCTAGTCGACTATATTAAGCGGTGATCGATTGTTTTAAGGAAGAGGTCACGTGACGTTAGAAATTTTGGGCGGGCGACGTCGACGCGGTTTTCGGTTTTTTAAGGTTCGCGAAACGTTCGGAAGGAAGGAGGTACCGTTTCGGAAACTAGAAACTCGGCGCTTTACGGGCGGGCGAGAGCCGTCGCGGCGAGAGGAACGGATCGGATCGAAAACGGCCGGTAAAGTCGAAAAATCGACCGTTTT